CCTTAGCCGGTTGAGCTATAGGCGCCGAGCCCAGACCTTTATTCTTATACACTAAAGTTGTTTCCAATTTTTGTTAGAATACTATAAACATAACTTTCATATAAGTATTTTTACATGTTTTTTCTCCATAAGACAAATTGATTTAACTGTCTTTGTGTGGACAACAGTTTTTTGAGAAAACCTAGTCCATTGTCTTTTTAGAAAAGAGGCTTCAACCGACCTTAAGATACTCATTTAACAAATACTTTTGATTATGTACTCTGAATTACGCAGTGTGCAAAGTGTTAGGGATTCAGTAGTGAGCAAAACAGATGTGGCACTTAACTTGAAGGTAAAGAGATGAAAGTGATGTTCGACATAACAGTTACTAATTGGTGTTTTTTGGATATTCCAATATTTATAGGTAGTACTGTGTATTTTAACCAGTCTTCACCATTTATATATTTAAAAATTAGGTCCTGGCTTGGCGCCCACAGCTCAGTGGTTATGATGCCAGCCACATGCACTGAGACTGGCAGGTTCAAGTCTGCCCTGGGCCAACTAAAACAACAATGACAACTGTAACAAGAAAATAGCCGGGTTGTGGTGGGTGCCTGTAGTCACAGCTACTTGGGAGGCTGAGGCAAGAGAATCGCTTAAGCCTGAGAGTTTGAGGTTGCTGTGAGCTCTGACACCACGGCACTCTACCCAGGGTGACATAGTGAGACTCTGTCTCCAAAAAATATAAATAAATAAATAAATAAAATTATGTCCTATAAAAAGTTTTAGATTTTTTTATATAGGTCTCTTTTTTTCTTACTACAGTTGGTGGGCCAGTTTATTGCTAGAGCTGTTGGAGATGGAATTTTATGTAATACCTATATCGATAGTTACAAGGGAACTGTAGATTGTGTACAGGCTAGGTAAGTAAATTAATTTTCCTACTTAGAATTTCATAGTGGGTGAATTTCTACAAGAGGCTATTGAAATGACACTTACATTAATCAGACATTGTGGGCATCTGTGACTTGTTTGTATTCTCCACAGTTAAAACAGAACGGAGAGGTTGTTGGCATGATATAACAGGATAGTACTACAACCCCAAAATTCTGAGTTTTAGCTAACCTGAAATTAATTGCCTTCATGAGTCAAGCCATTCTTGTTTGGGTATCAAATGCTTTTATAAAATGAAAGTGTTGCGTTATGTTCTTTAAGTTCCCTTCAGGTTCTAACATTCTGCGTTTATTTAAGAGTCTTCTGAGATAGACAAGATTAACAGAGTATCTTGATTTACAATTTTATATTGTACTTTTCTACTGTAGAAATATTTTGGAATACATCTTTTTTACTCTTGTTCTTTGGTATAATTAAGTGTAAGCTATAGGTAATATTTTGGAGTTGTGCTGTGTGATTTTTCTTAATTTCCTAGAGATTTAGACTTAGACATAGCCATGTGTTAGGTTTTCTTAGGTATAGATATTAACTTGATTTTCCAGGGCTACTTGAGGTCACAGTGGGAAAGTTTCCCTGGGTAAAAAGTCATGGATATAGGTAAACATTGTACGTGACATGCATGTTCTTTCTCATTGTGTATCAGTTATTTTTTAATATATTTTAATTTTCCTGAAGGAGAAATGGAAGGGAGAGAGCCATGAGACTATTAACATGAAAATCAACTTTATTCTGTTCTCAACTTTTTATTTTGAAGAAGAATTTTTTGAGTTTTGAAGTTTATATTGCTTTTATGTTTATATGAAAGATTTTAATGCATATGGAATTTTGTCAGCTTTAGCCATAATTGGATAAACTTCAGACATGTTCAGATACTAAAATTGAATTTTTTCCTTTTTTGTAGAGCTGCTCTGGATAAAGCTACCGTGCTCCTGAGTATGTCTAAAGGTGGAAAGCGTAAAGATAGTGTATGGGGCTCTGGAGGTGGGCAGCAACCTGTGAATCACCTTGTTAAAGAGGTAATGATTGGGTACTGTTTTTAACTTAATTTGTGATTTGTGTCTACTAGCTGGTATTTTTTTGGACAAGATTAAGTTTGGTCTTGTAACTACAAATGGAAAATTGAATAATCCTTTTATATTTGGCTGTATACCCTTTTATTATAAATTATATGATGACTATATTGGATTGTTATTAAATTTTTAATATTAACAAGATTGTGTTAAGTTAAAAGAATTTTTGTGAGTAATTATATAGGAAGGTTAGGTATGAACTTCAAAGGAATGTCTGAAATCTTTCTCTTATATTAGTATTTAAAATTTTTAAATTCTGTAGAAATGAGATTTTTTCCCCCCACTTTGTAATTTTATTTATTACAATAATATCTGTTATTATGTGAGCAATTTGAAATAGTCTCAGATCATAAGTTATGATTTTGAGAGCAGAGCAGATCAGAGTGGTACATTTTAGTGAGGAAGTCCACTAGCTGTATACATGCTTTAAAAGAAAACAATTGTTAGATTATTCCCTGTGGATTTTTTTTCTGGCTATAATATGCTTTTCCATAGCAAGAAACAAAAAATGTATTTAATCTCCTTATTTGCCAATCTTGAAGAAAAGACATGTAATTAGAAGATTTATAGTTAATGTGCTTCACATTTTTGATTATAATCTTTTCATGTGACTATAATTTTATTTTTAGTAAGTCTTTTAATGATATATGTCAGTGTATTATCTAGTTTAAGTGTTAAGGAGCTCGAAATAAACTTTGAGCCTTGGCTGTTTTTGCTTTCATATACATATATTAATGTTAAAATACGTAAGTTGGTGTTTTCAATGTCATGTTGCAATACATAGGTAACTCTGAAGGTTCTGAGATAGACTGTTATGGTCTATTATATCACTTCCAAGAAACACAATTGATTGCATCCTTTCTGATTCACCCATGCAAGTTCGAACTTGCTCAGCTTGGCAGGGTTTTTGGGAGGACTTCATTTGTTTCCATTTGTGTGAATTTTACATTTTTATTTTTGTGTATTGGAAAACTTTTGTAATGACCTGCATATCTTTTTTTTTTAATTAAAGAATTATTAGAAGAATTAAGGTATAAAAATAGTTCAAATACCAGGACATGTAGGCAAGGATAAGAAATAACAGGCATCCAGATTGGAGAGGAAGGAAGAGGTAATATTAGTTCGATTCACAGATGACATGATCTCTATGTGGAAAATCTGAATGATCCACCAAATAACCCCCTCAAACCTCAAACAAACTATTAACTAAATAAATGAGTTCAGCAAGGTTGCAGGATATAAGATCAATATAGAAATGCAATTCTGTATCTATATGGTAGTAGTGAATGAGCTGAACTGAAATTAATTGCAGTTTACAAATAGCATCAAAGATAAAATACCTAGGAATAAATCAAATAAGTCTGATACACTGAAAACTGCAAAGCATTGTTGAAAGAAATTAAAGAAGACTTAAGGCTCGGCGCCTATAGCTCAACTGGCTAAGGCGCCAGCCACGTACACCTATGGTGGCGGGTTCGAATCCCCAGCCTGGACCCGCCAAACAACAATGACGGCTACAACCAAAAAATAGCCGGGCGTTGTGGCGGGTGCCTGTGGTCTCAGCTACTTGGGAGGCGGAGACAGGAGACTCGCTTGAGCCTAGGAGTTGGAGGTTGCTGTGAGCTGTAATGCCATGGCACTCTACCCAGGGGGACAGCTTGAGGCTCGGTCTCAAAAAAAAAAAAAAAAAAGAAGACTTAAACAGTTATATCTCATGTGCGTGGATCAGAAGACATATATGATGGTCAAGATGGCAACTCCCCAAAATTAATATTTTGAGAAACTGCTAAACTGTTGTATGTGAATTTACACTTATAAAAAACAAATGAGATGGCTCGGTGCCTGTGGCTCAAGTGGCTAAGGCACCAGCCACATACACCTGAGCTGGCAGGTTCGAATCCAGCCCGGGCCTGCCAAACAGCAATGTTGGCTGCAACCAAAAAGTAGCTGGGTGTTGTGGTGGGCACCTGTAGTCCCAGCTACTTGGGAGGCGGAAGCAGGAAAATCACTTAAGCCCAGGAGTTGGAGGTTGCTGTGAGTTGTGATGCCACAGCACTCTACCCAGGGTAACAGCTTGAGGCTCTGTCTCAGAAAAAAAACAAAAACAAAATAATGATAAGATAAAAATTGAAGTAAAACTACCAATAGGAAGTTGAGGTGGACATTATTTGGATATCCATATAACCAAATGGAAGGAAGGGTTGAGACAAAGAAGACTTAGAAATGTATACGTGTGTTCGTAATTTATCATTCTCAGAAATATATGGAATCCATAGGGAGCATTTAAAATATTTTTTAAAGTTATATAGCAAATGTAAAAACTAAGTAGAATTTTTTTTAAAATTTATTTTATTTTATTTTTTTCAGTTTTTGGCGGGGGCTAGGTTTGAACCTGCCACCTCCGGCATATGGGGCCGGCGCCCTACTCCTTTGAGCTACAGGCGCTGCCTTTTTTATTTTTGTTTTTTGAGTCAAAGTCTCATGTTGTCACCCTCGGTAGAGTGCTGTGGTATCACAGCTTATAGCAACCTCCACCTCTTGGGCTTAGACGATTCTCTTGCCTCAGCCTCCCGAGTAGCGGGGACTACAGGCGTCCATCACAATGCCTGGCTGTTTTTTGTTGTAGTTTGGCCGGGGCCAGGTTCAAACCCACCACCCTTGGTATATGGGGCCGGTGCCCTACTCACTGGGCCACAGGCACCGCCTATAAAACTAAGTAGAATTTAAATAACAAATACAGTCATATGGTACATAACAATTTTTCATTAATAATGCACTGTATGGAACCATGGTGATCTCTTAAGATTATAATGGAGCTGAAACATTCCTGTTACCTAGTATTACCTAGTATTGTAGCTATTGTAATATCATAGCATAATTTATTTTCTTATAAGTTTAGGGTAGCCTAAGTGTACATTGTTTATAAAGTCTGTAGTAGTGTACAGTCCTAGGCCTTCACATTCACTCACCACTTACCATTGACTCACCTAGAGCAACTTGTAGTTCTTCAAGTTCAATCCATTGTTAAGATTGCTATAAAAGTATACCTTTTTTTTTTTGTCATTTATACCATAATTTTAGTGTACCTTTTCTGTGTTCAGATAAATATTATTATGTTCTAATTAAAGTATTCAGTACAGTAACATGCTGTATAGGTTTGTAGCCTAGGAGTGGTGGGATATACCATAGAGCCTAGGTATGCAATAGGGTGTACCTTCTAGGTTTGTGTAAGTACTCTACAATATTCATGTGACAGAAAACATTTAATGCATTTTTCAGAATTATCCTCATCATTAAATGACAAATGACTGTATATTAATTGGCAATTATAAAAACACTATTAAATGTTGTGCTTTAAATATTTACTTTCTTGAAGCATAATAGGAATTATTCATCAGGATGTATTTTGTGATTATATCTTACTTTACATTTTATGAAAATATGTTGTAGCAGTGGGAAATAGAAGATACTTGAAAAGGTTTATTGTATTCAGTTAACCAGCACTCGCTGCCATCTAGGTGCGAAAGTGATTTTAACAGGTGGCATATAGGGAAGTTCTTGTGCTGAAAAACTTTTCTCTAGAGCCATAGATGACATTATTTAAGTTTAAACAGACTTTCCTTTTTTAGCTTCAACTGGAAGCTAAATTATTGATGACCATTTTAGAAAACGGGTTTCAAATCCTTAGTTGTAGAGAAAAGAGAAACTGTATTGCCCTGTTCAATAATGCCCCATTATCATCTCCCACTTTTTTGGCTTCCAGGGTTCTTACTATTCAAGTCATCTTGATAAAAGTGCAATATTTTATGCCACCTTAAAAATTCATACTGCGACTTTCTGTTAGGGCCCTCTAGTGGTATTTAAAATTCAGATTCCTTGATTTCAGTGGGAGCATTCTAAAGCATTATGGTTATAACCCAGGCCATGGATATTATACCCTATTCTTGGATTTCAGTGATTATTCAGACACACTGAAGAGTTGTATTTGCTTCATAATTAGGAATCATTTAAAAATTGAGGACTTTTTTAATTATGAAGAAATTATGATAGTACATGTCGGGTCTTTGTGTTCTTAGCTGTGATCTGTTGTTTCATAATGTAATTAATATATTGAAATGAGGGTAAATAATCTGTAGGTAAGCACAGTTTTTTTTCTAAAAAGTAGGAATTCTAACACATCTCAACTTTTAAATCTAATAGATTGATATGCTGTTGAAAGAGTATTTACTGTCTGGAGACATACCTGAAGCTGAACATTGCCTTAAGGAACTGGAAGTACCTCATTTTCACCATGAGCTTGTATATGAAGTAAGATTTCCTTGCCATATCAAAGAGAATTACTTAAGTGTTCCTTTTTGTACCACAGTGATTTAATACTGCTTTAATAACATACATTTTTTTCTTGTTATAAAATATTAAGGCAGAAAGTAGTTTTTAAATTTTCATGATTATAAAATCATATGATGATTACAAATTAGGGAAAAGGCATCTGTTATAGTTTTGGAGCTGTTTCTTATATGAATTAATGACCCAAAATTCATTCATCTAATTTTTTAGGCTATTGTAATGGTTTTAGAGTCAACTGGAGAAAATACATTTAAGGTGATCTTGGATTTATTAAAATCCCTTTGGAAGTCTTCTACCATTACTGTAGACCAAATGAAAAGAGTAAGTATTATGTAATTTTGTACAACTTTTAGGCTAATACATGATTGAATAAAGAATTACATTTTCTTTAAGTTTAATATTATGCTTATAAGTTTTGTTTGTTTTCTTTCTTTTTTTTGGTCTGGGCTGGGTTTGAACCCTCCACCTCCAGCATATGAGGCTGGTGCCCTACCCTTTTGAGCCACAGGCACCGCCCCCTTTTGTTTGTTTTCTTAATGGGTAGTGTTTGAGGTTTGAACCTCTTATAACTATTTCTTGGAAAGTAACATTTCACTGAGTTTTTTTACTTATTTTTGTTTATTTTTATTTTATCAGTTAATTTTTTGGGAGACAGTTTTACTTTGTCATCCTCAGTAGAGTGCCTGTGGCATCATAGCTTATAGCAACCTCAAACTCTTGGGCTCAAGCCATCCTCTTGCCTCACCCTCCCAACTAGCTGGGGCTGTTAGGCGCCCACCACAACACCCGGCTATTTTTAGAGGTAGGGTATGGCTCTTGCTCCAGCATTTCTCTTAACTCCTCAGCTCAGGCCTTGGCCTCCCAGAGTGCTAGGATTTACAGGTGTGAGCTACCATGCCTGGCTTTATCTATTTTTAAAAATGTGATTATGTATTCCCCTCAAGGGTTGTCTAATATATAATACTTTATATTTAGAGAAACATGAACCTTTAACAAATTATACTTTAAAATACTTATTTAAAGTTGTGTGTATTGTTGAAATGTTAGTGAGGTTCTTATTTTGTTTGCACTGTATTTTTTTTAAAAAGTAGCAAATGTATATAGAAAAGAACATGGAGAAGGAATTTGTCTAATGTGTGATAGAAGTCTGCCTGGCAGTTCTTTTGAAAGAATAGTTTTAGGCTCGGCGCCTATAGCTCAACCGGCTAAGGCGCCAGCCACGTACACCTAAGGTGGCGGGTTCGAATCCCCAGCCCG